AAGACTACATCATTTATTGCTTATTCTACAAACATTAGGGAGCTGCACTGGGGCAAACAGCAAGCTGGCAATTGAGACTTTGAGAGAAAAGCCACTTCCTGTATCCTCACGTTTAAGTGTATGGACTTAGAGGGCAGATAAGTTACAGTATAGTGAAAGGACACTCGAAGTAACCTCAAGTATGGAAGAATGAAAGATTCCTTGGAAATTAGGGAAGAATTCATAGGGAAACGATGTTTTAACTGAATTCTAAACTAATTATATAAGCTCCAACAGACTGCATAGCTAATGAGAAATGGCAGGATGAATTGTCTTTTTCCTGCCATAAAAAGCATATACAGGAATAAGTTAAGAGCAATTTATTTAACATAACATTTTAGTTTATTGATGTTAATATATACGTAAGCATTTCCAGCTAAAAAATATCTCTTCTAAAGACTTTTTCCTTCTTGATAATAAAATGTTGTTCCAGAAAAATGCTGAATAAATCTTTCTTGAAATATATTACATTGCTTCTTCCAAAGACCCTGAAGTAATACAGAATTTACACTTCAGTAGTTGCCATGCTCAGACTTGACAAGTTGTATATATTGTATTTACTGGTGAAACGATAAAAAACAAAGGTATGGTATAGAGCTAAGTGGTTTTGTATTCATTTAGTTTTGAGGGGGAAAAATCATTGATTTAACATTTTGAAAACCAAGCTCAAAGCCTAGACAGACTATTAATCTTCAGTATTTTTTATTATTACTTCAAAGGTCATTGTGTCTAGATAATATTTTTAAAACAATATATATTTCCTTATGAGTATTACTTAAGTTGTCATATATAATGCAGAGAAAGACCTATTAGAATGTGGTAGTATTTTATTAGTATTATTATTTTAATTTGCCAGAGGACACATGCACTCACCAATGAATGGGGGTCGGGGAGATAAAGTGTGAGAGCCCTTCCATGGTGGATGGTCACACTGCAATCCCTTCACCTTCATTTCTCTCTCCTTTTGGGATTTTAGGTATACATGCACCTACACCCAGTATATTTCTCAAGTCATCAGATCCAGGACTCAGTCACACCTGTGGGATCAGTCATGTGGGATCCAACTGCCTTAACCACTATGTCACCTATGTGATAGGAATTTTTTAAGTAGAGTCTTCTCTTTGTCATACAACTATTATCTACTTTTCCCTGGAAAACAAACATATCTAGAAGTTCTTTGAAAATAATCTCATGGATAGCTAAGGTTATTTCTCTCTTTTTTTTTTTCATAATGGAATTATATTTAGTGTTAAGAACATTCAGTAAACTCTTTAGTATTCTTACTGGTATATATAATTTTGGCTTTTGCCAACTTTTAGGTTGGAAGAGAACAGATTATTTCTTTGATATGTCTATTTCATAAGAATTTTGGCTTTAGATTTATTTATTTTAATTTTTATTTTTTGGTGCTGCTACTTCACTTGTACCTGAAAGATGCCCATTAATAAACATTTGTAGAGTAAAGACAAATCTCTGTTCTCATCTAAGTGTCTGACTGTATCTAAATATATCTAGTGCATCATCCTGTGTATCTAGTAATGTCCATAGGTCTCCGGCACTGGAAAGAGCATGCAAATTACATTACCTCAGTGATTTACTAATGACAAACTTGATTCCAAAATTCGTGTTTAAATTGTATATTAAAAAAAGGTTGGGGAACTAGCAGGTGGTTGGTAGTTAAGGCACTGGATACTCCCACGTGGCTGACCATGGTTCAAGTCCTGGACCTGGTGGCTTGCTTTCTCACTTTCCCTCTCTCACTTTCTCTCTCTGTCTGTGTCTGTCTCTGATCAAATTAAAATAAATGAATGAATAAATAAAAATAAATAATTTTAAAAGAAAGGTTGAGTTTGAGACCAGCTGATGACATAATGGTTACATCACTGACTCCCAGGTGGTTGACCAAGGTTCACATTTTGAACCCAACAGCTTAAAACTCATGCCAGGTATGTGTACGTGCACACCCAAAATCCTGAGAGGTGAATGGAGGAAAAGGGATTGCAGCATGATCATCCTCCCTAGGGGGTGATTTCTCACTTTCTATCTCTGTTTTTCTCTGTATCTCTGCAAAAAAATCTATAGCAAAAATCTTTCTTAACAAACAAATAAGCAAACAACAAAAAAGGCTGAGTTTTTCTGAGAATTTTTAACTTTGTGAGGTGCTTGAAAATGGAACCAAAGATAGGAGATTTAATTCAGAATTCTTAGTGGAGATGGAATGGGGGAAGGATTTGGCACCTAGTTCAAGGCCTGTCCGATAAATCAAGTGATGCACAGATGGCTGAAATACACCTGGGAATAGCATCCAGAAACCTAACGCAATATAAAAAAGCCTAGTCATAATCAATGCAATGTTTCAATTAGGTGATTACTATCTGCATTAAAAATTGGGTGGAGGAGCAGCCTGGTGGCACAGTCATTAGCAAACTTTAACTGCAATGCTGAAGCCATGTGGCTGATGTTTTCTAATCCCCAGGACAGTTTAAAAACATGCAAGGTGTGTATGGGTGCTCAGAATCCTGATGGGTTGCAGTGCTGTGGAAAGGGGGTCATGGTGTGATGAGACCCTGTTGAGATTTTCAATCTCTCTCTCTCCCTCTCCCTCTGTCTGTCTCTCCCCTGTGTGTACATATGCTCTTTAACACGAATAAACATAAATAAACTTAAAATACAAAGAATCATATGGGCATGCTGCCATTACTGATTGATTTATTAAAGCTGATGTCGATGGAATGTTTACTATTTGCAGAAGACAATTCTTAGAGCTGTAAATACAGCACAGAAAATAATTAAAAAATTTTAAACTCTTCTGGATATTCATCCTATCGTGTGACAATAAAAGATAAACTAATGAAATATGTAATATGTCACGTGCTAGCAATTGCTAAGAGGAGAGGCTAGGGCAAGAAGTTAAGTCTGTGTGTGGAGAAGGAGGCCCTTATCTGAAGTGTCCAGGTAAGACCTCACTGACAAGGCCGTATTTCAGAAAAAGTTATAAGAAAGGAGAAATGAGACCTTCTGGTATCTGGAGGAAGAACATAGGCTGTTGGAACATCATGAGAGACCTCAGGCTTTTGTCTCATAGGGCTCCACCAGTATTGACCAAAGAACAGACTCTGACAAATACTATAAAATCCATAGTAATGTTTTCTGAATTACCATATGATATATAAATGAAGCATTCAAAAAGATATAGAAACACGGTTTACATGACTATTTCTTATCTTTTTATTAGTTTCCAGAGACCCATGTGCTCACCAGAGAGAGAGAGAGAGGGAGAGAGAGAGAGAGAACATCTCTTCAATGGGGCATGATCCATTTTTCCATCCCGTCTGGTTTTGAGGCAGGCACACACAAGTACCCAGTGTGTTTTTCAATCTGCAAGGGCTGGTATTTGAGCTGTGGCTGGCCATGTGAGATTGGGTGGGTGGAGAAGGGGGGTGGAACAAGAGGAATACATAATTATGTGGTCGGGTCGGAAATCTCACAGGTTAATACACTTGCAACCATTCTTACATACATTTATAAAAGAATAAGTAGTCCTAGAGGTGTGTGCATGGTATTACAGCAGTGCAGAGGAGAGCTGCCTAACCCTTGCTGAGAGCAGAAAATAAAAGGGTCTTCCTAAAAGATGGAACCCTGGTTTGGGGTTTGCTAGTACTTTCATTATGAATATTCCCTTTGATGTGTAGATCATTTGCAGCAGACTTTCTAAGCCACATGTCCAATGTATCAGATTTAGTTTTTGTCTGTATTTGTTACTCTATCTGTATCTAGTGTACATGGATTCATTAAACAGTACCAGTAAGTGGCAATATGTCACAACAGACTGAGAAATGGCCAGTAAACGTGGAGCTTCTGTGTTGTGGAGTTCTCATTTTCCTTCTGCTTATCCTGGTTATTCTATATTATTTCTGCACCCTCTAATATGTTTGCCAAGTGCAGGGCTGCATGTTAACCAACCCAGGAATATTAAGATATCCTATTTTATTTATTCTTCTTTAGGAAAAACAAAACAAAACAAATAAATATATATACAGAATTAAAGAATTTCAGATAGCTCTCTAAGACATCAAATAGATTTCCTTGTGTACCCTGTGGGGTAGGTGCATTTCATTTTAGAACCTACTACTTAGGAAAGAAGAAGTGTTTGAAGAGTGTTAAGCAGGGAAATACCATGACCAGATATGGATTTTGATCACTTGCCCAGGTTTGTCAGTTCAGGATATATTGAGAGAGATGAAAAACATGAAGGTCAGATAGGGGGATATTGCTTATTGTCAGAATTGAGGGGGATGGCAGGGGGGATGAGATGATGGCATGGATCTGAATATTCAAGACTTAGTGAATGATTGGAAGTACTTACTAAGGTAGGAGAAAGAATAAAGAATGACTTTCTGGTTCTTGACTAAAGCACAAGTTTTGGGTTTTAAGAACAAAGAATGATTCATAATTCCTTGTTGCTTCCCTCCCCACCCCCCAGGTTTTTGCCATAGTGTACGCACGCTTGCCGGAGAAAGAGAAAGTCAGAGAACCGCCTGATCTGAGGGTTGAACTGCAGTCTGCCATGTAAAAGTCTAGTGCCTTAACCACTATACCACCTACCCCCCAGTTACTTTTTCAGTGGAAAACAACAACAACAACCATATTGCTGTTCTTTCTTGATACATTAAATACTAGTATCACTGTTTTCATTCATTCCACATAACAGATCTGGAGACTGCTTCTTCCCAGATATCATATATGGTTATTTTCTGATTGAACTTGGTTTTTATAAATAGGATTTCAAAAAATGAAAAGTAAATACTTGTTCATCATAAGATTAAAAAAAAAAAGGAAGAAAGAAAGAACAAAAGAGAGAAAGACAGACTATTGTCTTTCTAGTGCATGATCAGTGTTGTATGAGAATGCAGGTGACTTGGGCATCCTCTGGTTCATTGCTGCTGTCTGTTTTCCTCTAGCTGGGATGACAGCAGTTCAGTGAGCAGTGGTCTCAGTGACACCCTCGATAACATCAGCACTGATGACCTGAACACCATGTCCTCAGTCAGCTCTTACTCCAACATCACTGTCCCTTCCCGCAAGAACACTCAGGTGAGAAGCCTCATTTCTTTTTCCAGTGTTTCTGTCGATTTCTACCCCCAAATGATTGTTAGATTAAGGTATAGCACCATCCCTTGAGCTAGAATAATTGCACAAACTGAATGAAAACAGCAACGGAACTCATTTGGCCATCCCTGAACCTCGAAGTAGCTTTATCTTAGACTCTCCAAAATCACAACCCTGAGATGCAACGATGTGAATCTCAGCATATTTTGGATAATTAAAATCAGATTACATATGTGTGTGCACATATAGCCATATGTATTTTTCTGCTGATTATAATCTAGGGCAGAAACACCTGTGTTGCCATATCTCTCTTAATAATACTGATATATTTGTTTAAAAATCTAGCAGTTATTTTAATAGTCTAATTTGGGATAGTTCTTGATTCATTTTATATTAATCACTGAAATAAATTATTGGGTCTTTGGTAACTGGCAAGTCAAGAATGGACATTAACTAATTAAGTTTTATCTTGTATTACTTTTTCTCATTACATTTGACATAAAAAATTTCTTCCTTTCTGGAGTTTCTAATTGGGGTTTTCTGCATATATTTATTCTGACATTCTCTACTAAGTAAGTGAGTAAGAATTATGTGGCTAAAATTAATGAAACTTAAGGGAAGACATAGATAAAAATAGAAATCTTTTGAATTCTTTTGAAATATAAATTAGGGCTTCCTTTTATTAACCATTTATTCAAAAGCACATTCCAGTATCTTAATTTCCATATTATAGATTTTTCTGCATAAGATATTTTTCTGTAATATTTTTCTTTATAGCTGAAGACAGATTCAGAGAAACATTCCACAACAGATGAGACCTGGGATAGTACGGAGGAGCTGAAAAAAACAGAAGAAGATTTTGACAGTCATGGGGATAGCGGGAGCAAGTGGAAGAGTGCCACCCCGGGACTTCCTGAAGACCCTGAGAAGGCAGGGCAGAAAGCTTCCCTGTCTGTTTCACAAACGGGTTCCTGGAGGAGAGGCATGTCTGCCCAAGGAGGAGCACCATCCAGGCAGAAAGCTGGAACAAGTACACTCAAGACTCCTGGTATGCTCGTTGTTTGGCCGCTGTCGCATACAAGTGCTTTAATTTATTGTTTCCATTTAGTCTCTGATTATTTTTTTTTCCTACTAGCTTTCTTTTGTAGGAAAATAAAACACTAATTTATTTCTTCCATGAGAGAGAGAGAGCCAAGAGACAGGCACCCCAAACAGGGTCTTTGTTGCCATGCTCCACCCCGTTTCATCTGGCTCAGATCACAGTCATGCTTGTGTCCAGAGTGTTCAGGGATGGGTCAGGATACAAACAAAGGACCTTTCCCAGGTCAGCTCAGCTGTGTTTCCACTGCACCACCACCTGGTCTTTTGTGTTCTTCTTAAAATCAGATTCTTCTCCAAACACATATTTTTTCCACTTAAATGTACATACTAATTCATATAAATCCATGTGCATATAGTAGCCTAGGCATTCTCTAGAGAGCACCCTCGTAGTTTGGAGCTACTGAACACCTTCTTTGCCATAATTGTTTCAGGTCTTGTGAGAATAAAATAAGGCTGCTAAATAGTAAAGTTTCTGTGTTTTGACTTTCCTATAAAAATCTGGCATATGTATATTAAGGATACCACTGAGTTTCCTGGCAAGCTCTGAGAGTTAATGTAATCACACAAATGTAATGAGTTGGAATCTTGGCGATGTGAGATGTTGGTGAACTAGACTTGACAAAAGAAAACAGTGGAAAAATTCTGCAAAATGGTACCATCCTTTTTTATATTTTCTAAGACTCATCTGCCATTTTTTTTAATAGTGCTTAATTTAAAATAGTGCCACCTGAAGTAGTTATAGCAGGGTACTCCAAATCTAATCATCCCACAGATACTCAATTGACTTCTTAGTCTAGTACTAAGCTTAATAACATTAAGTGCTATCCTTATAAAGAAAATAATTGCAAACTGTGACATTCACAAATAGCACTGTGTTTTCATTTTACCTCCTTGAACCCTCATCATATTGCCTCTGACAGCCAACTCTGTATAGCCATGCACTTCTTCCTCTAAATTGTGTGCGCTTCTTTAGATCTACAATGATAAACATTTGGGAACCAAGGTGCTATAAAAGCATTCACATTGGGGACCAGCAGTTAGTGTATTGGCTATGTCGCTGGACTCCCACGTAGTCGACCACAGTTCGCATCCTGGATCTGGTGACTTAAAACTCACACTGGGCGTGTGTGCATGCATGCCCAAGATCCCAAGAGGAGAATGGAGGAGAAGGGATTGCGGCGTGGCCATCCCCTCTGGGGGGTGATTTCTCACTTTCTATCTCTCTGTCTCTGTCTGTCTGACGAGCGCATGCGTCCTATAGCAAAAACCTCTCCGAAAAAAAAAAGCATTCACGTTGTATGTATTAATTCTAGAAGGATTGTTATGATGTCAAGATGTGCAGAACACACATTTGTGTATTTTTTTCTATTAATTAGGAAAAACCGATGATGCCAAAGCTTCTGAGAAAGGGAAAACTCCCCTGAAAGGATCGTCCCTACAAAGATCTCCTTCAGATGCAGGAAAAAGCAGTGGTGATGAGGGGAAAAAGCCTCCCTCAGGCATTGGAAGATCAACTGCTACCAGCTCTTTTGGATTTAAGAAGCCAAGTGGAGTAGGGTCGTCAGCTATGATCAGTAGCAGTGGGGCGACCATCACAAGTGGTTCTGCAACACTGGGTAAAATCCCCAAATCTGCTGCCATTGGTGGAAAGTCAAATGCAGGAAGGAAAACCAGTTTGGATGGTTCCCAGAATCAGGATGACGTTGTGTTGCATGTCAGTTCCAAGAGCACCCTGCAATACCGTAGTTTGCCCCGCCCTTCCAAATCCAGCACCAGTGGCATTACTGGGTCCCAGAACCAGCACCAGCAGTATTGATTCCAATGTCAGCAGCAAGTCAGCTGGAGCCACCACTTCCAAACTGAGGGAGCCCACGAAGATCGGGTCAGGGCGTTCAAGTCCTGTCACTGTCAACCAAACCGATAAAGAGAAGGAAAAAGTAGCAGTCTCAGATTCAGAAAGTGTTTCTTTGTCAGGTTCCCCCAAATCCAGCCCTACCTCTGCCAGTGCCTGTGGTACACAAGGGCTCAGGCAGCCAGGATCCAAGTATCCGGATATTGCCTCACCTACCTTTCGAAGGTAAGGATGTGCAAACTGATGCAAGAAAACTTTTTAAAATATATTTATGTATATATAAATATGTATCTATGTATCCACACACACATATATACATATATACAGTATGTATCCATATATATACACACACACACACACATACATGTATGTATAATTATACACACTCATGGGTGGGATGTTTAAAAAGTTCATAGAACATTTTTATAATGACAAAACTAAGTTTCAAAAATCTTTTGCACTAAAATAAAATTGCACTTTAACTCCATTTTTCACCATTTTAAAAAAAGTTTATTGCTTTTATGAGAGAGAGAGAGAGACAAACACCTTGAACAGGGTCTCATCCCATGATCCCCATCTAGATTTCCCAGTCTGCTCGGATCATAAGCATGTGACCCCAGTGTGTACAGGTCAACTGGGGAACCAAACCTACCACCTTCCGTAAGTGTGCTGTGCCTTCAAGGACTTTTTGAAAGTCCCCTATTGTCTGCCAGCCTATCTATCTATCTACATATCTATAGCTATAGATATCGCTATATAAATGTTTATATTCTAAGGTACATATTTTAGACTCTTAAAAGTACAGCAAATGCTAAGAAGTTGATCATATATAAATAACTAGCAAAAAGAAAAGTGCGTATTTTGAAAATGGTCAGATATCAGTTTCTCTGTTGTAATGATAGCTACACAAATAACTTGTGTAGGAGACTTGAAAGCACATGGCAATGCTGAGAGGTAGCGATTAAGACAAAATATTCTAGCTTGTAAACTTGCTGCAGATTGCCGTCCTTTTTTTCCACAGTTAAGAAACAAGCAACAACAACAAAAATAGACCTTTATGGCTATTGGCATTCTTTTTCAGTGTTCATTATTTTGGTTCTCTTCATGAGTTGGTGATTAGAAATGTTCCTTAAAATAGATTATACTGGACAGAGTTTTACAGTTATACAGTTACACAGTATCATATCTTGACATATAAAAGAAAATCAAGGTATGATATAATTAACAGAATTGGAAAACATTCAGATGTTTGGTACAAGATAGCATCTTAAGAATGGGCTGTTTTCTGACTCTTCATCAGTTTTCTTTGACATGACAATGGTGAGCAGCGCACTTGGGTTTCTATACTGGGATTGTCTTTGGTGTTAAATACATGAAGCTCTACTCTGAGAGCTCACTGTTTTTAAATACCAGAGTGTTTTTAAGTGGCAGCCAGGTAAATTCTGTGAAAGACTCAGGACAAATAGCTAAACCTCTTTAGTCTATTTTCTCATCTGTGAAATACTAGAGTGTGATTTATAGTTCATTTTATAATAAATGTTTTTAATATTTTTACTTTTATTCTGCTGATAACTAAGAACTTAGATTTCTTGGAAATAAAGGGTCTTAAAACATTTACATTTACATTCAAGCAATCTCAGATATAATTGTTTGAAAAGCCTACAACTTTTATTGCTTAGTAGAATTAATCCTGAAGAACTGGCTTTTTGAAATGATTCTCATTGGAAAAAATAAATTATGGCTTGCAGTGACAGTAAATACTTTGTTGCTTAAATAAAAGGCAATAGTGCCCTCCTGTGGCCCATTACCTATGAAACAATTTCTCATATTCGTCATAAGATATTTCACTGTAGGAAATACAGATTTCATTGCAACCTACTTAGCAATCATTCTATCATTACTTCATATCACTTTATTTCCATATTTACATAAATTCGATGATATCATCCACTTCATTTACAAAACTAAAATGTTTTCTGAACTAAACTCCAACATCTAACTGAACTTGAGCTATATTTCAAATCACTATGACAAATATGTATTTGAATAGCACTGGCAACTGATATCAAATCCTTTGGCCTTTCCTGGGGAAAACACGGACAAATTGACATGTTGCCAACAATTTCCAATATTGTGTCCAATCAACTACTTCCTGACGGTTGCTCACGCCACCAGATACTCAATATAACTTTGTAAACCTTTCCTTAAGCATTCCTTTTAGATTTTGAATAGACTATTGAAAGGAAAGAGAAAAATTCTTATAAGCGCTATGTATCGAATGCGTAGAAGTTGTTTCATTATAATGGTTCGTAAATAGGTAATAGCAAGTACAATCAAAATATTTAATTTGAGTGAAAGATCCTCATCACTTAAATTGGAAAAGCAGAGATTTTCATGTTTGACGTACTTTTGTTTTGCTTGCTTCTCCCCAACCCTGGGTAGCAGCCCAGTACTGACTTTGCATATAAGAGTTTGAGGTGAACTTCATTCATATGATATGAGAACTTTTCTGCACTTGAGTCAGAAGTGCAAGCTATAAAGTTCATTCATATGAAGATGGGGAGTGCTTGGTGGTTCAGGACACCAATGTACACTTGGCTGTGTGTCCTGTAACCCCCAAAACGAAATGTGGATATTAGTGTCTTGGAACAACTGAAGTTGTTATTTGTTTTTCCTTTTAGGTTGTTTGGTGCCAAGGCAGGTGGCAAATCTGCCTCTGCACCTAATACTGAGGGTGTGAAATCCTCCTCAGTAATGCCCAGCCCTAGTACCACATTAGCGCGGCAAGGCAGTCTGGAATCACCGTCGTCTGGTACGGGCAGCCTGGGCAGTGCTGGTGGGCTCAGTGGCAGCAGCAGCCCTCTCTTCAATAAACCCTCTGACCTAACTACAGATGTTATAAGCTTAAGCCACTCTTTGGCTTCCAGCCCAGCATCGGTTCACTCTTTCACCTCAGGTGGTCTCGTGTGGGCTGCCAATCTGAGCAGTTCCTCTGCTGGCAGCAAGGACACTCCAAGTTACCAGTCCCTGACTAGCCTCCATACGAGCTCTGAGTCCATTGACCTCCCCCTCAGCCACCATGGCTCCCTGTCTGGACTGACCACAGGCACTCACGAGGTCCAGAGCCTGCTCATGAGAACGGGTAGTGTGAGATCTACTCTCTCAGAAAGGTGAGCTTTACCGGAGGCGCTGAGAGTCCTCAACCCTCCTCCCTGCACCGTGCTGAACCCCAGATCCCAACATATTCCCTTGATTTCAGAGGGCCACTGTGCAAAGGACCATCGACTAGCAAGAGAGGGCCTTTTATGTGCTCCATCCCCATACGTGCAGAGAAATAAAACCAACAGAGATAGGGAGGTTAGATCATTAAGATCCTTAATGTGAATGCATACATGCACACCCAGTAGGCAGTTTAAAGAAAATTCAGAGCACATGAACGATGTCTTCTCAAGATATTTGAATTATTTGTCTTAAGCTCCTTATGATAATTTAACCATTTTTTAAAGACCAAATTGAAGTGGCTTTTAGAATTATGTTCTGAGCAGTATGTTAAATATGCTCTATTTGCACTTATATGAAAAAAATAGCAAATGAGTTCCTCAGAAGAATCCTAATTGACTTTTTAAAAATTTGTTAATTCTGAATTCTTAGAGACATTATAATAATAGGCCTCTTGAAAAGGAATCATACTACAAAGTGTTCTTCATTGATTTTACATTGAATTTATATATATGTACACACATACATACACATTTTTTATGTCAAGAGGAGAAGAAAATGAGGCATTTCCTTTTTTAAATTTTTTTTTAAATATTTTGCGATAGGGTGTGTGCACTCACTGGAGTGAGGCTGTGAGAAAGAAAGTGAGAAAAGCATCCCCCAGGAGGGGAGGCCCATGCCACAGTCCACAACCCCTTCTCTTCTGTTCTTCTCATAGGATTTTCGGTATGCACACACACGTGCCCAGTGTGATTTTCAAGCTGCTGGGTCTGGGATGTGAACTAGAGTTGACCATGTGGGAGTCCAGTGCCTTAACTACCACAGTGATAATGAGGCATTTCTTACCTTACATCCTGACGAGAAAGCATCACTGCTGAGCAGAATGGCTCTAGATTCTCCCCCTAAAAAAATCATTTTTCTGATATTTTGATACTGACACTTACCCCTGTGCTTTCTATAGCATCTTAGATTCTACTATAGCTTCAGCACTTTTAAGGTAAATAGAAATCCTCACGTGTCATTTAGAAAATTTCTAACAAATAAATAGAATCAGATTGAAAACATATTAACCTATTAGTTTAATGAGTGTATCCTAGATCGTGTACTAATATGTGAGGATTCAAATAGCAAGTTGATAATCAAATCAAATCAAATCTACTGCTAATAGGTATCATCTATTAATCAGAACTGCACTATAAAATACTGTTTTTTTTATTTTAAAGATGATTAAAACAAGTTGACTACTTAGCCATCAGTCTGTTTCTTCAACATTCAAACATTAAAGACTCAAAAAGCTAGTCAAATAACTATTTGTAACTAAGTAACCCTCAAATCAAAACTAGATAATCTTGATTAGTCTTATAGTAGTAATATCTGAAATGAACTTTTAGATTTTACTGTATATTTAGCAGAAATCAGTATAAATGTTCTCTAAACATACTAGTAAATACGTAGCTACTTGTTTTTTATAAACAGGTTAATTGTTCAGTCTTTGACACAGGACAGTTTTACAAACGGGAATGTTCTATTGGGTTGTTGGGAAGCTCATGACATATTTTTCTAAGCAAAAATGCATCATGACTTTCCAGGCAACCCAATAGTATTAAAATAGCTAAATAAATATTTTATCTAAAATAAACTTTAAATTAACTTTGAATTAATGAATATGCTTTACCTTTGATTCTTAGTAAACTATATTGATAAATATTAAGTTGTGGAAAGTAAATGTCATCATAGGTATAGTATATACTATAAATATTACTTCTAGTAAATTACTAGGTTAAAATAATTTTTATATAAGACATTATTCTTTTTTATCGTTGGAAACAAGACTGCAAGCAATTACAGTTTAGTCCCTTAAAGTACACTTTGGAAAGCTTAAAATCTATTGAAGAGAAAATGTGATCTGATAGGTAGGTGATCCAGTCTTAATTTTAATTAATCAGTGGAACATTGGATCTGTTAAGAAAACCAGAGATTCACGTGGGAAAGAAAGTATGTTAAAGTGTAAATATTTAAGACAAATTAATTCATGATGATAGAGATATCTAATAGAGACATATGTAAGTACATGACTTACCTTTTTACTTGTAATTTTAGAAATCACATCCTAATGCTATTGATATTTTTTAATTGGCAGAGGACATGCACACTTGCCAGAGAAAGACAGAGAGAGAGACGGAGAAAACACCCTCTGTAAAGTGTGGTCACTCTGTATCCTGTTGGGATTTGGGACACACCTGCACACATACCCAGCGTGTTCCTTAAGCCACAGGCTCCAGTAATGGAACTGCATTTGGCCACATAGGATCCAAGTCCCTTAACTACTAAGTTATGGGATTGGCACAAATCAATAGCTTTTATACAGATTATAATTTTTGTTTAAATTCTTTATCTTTTAAAATAAATAAAATAATAAAAAATAAAATTAAATATGTTCTCATAGTTTCTGTGGCTGTTCTAGACCATTAGTGGCTCTTAAGGCATAACTAGTCCTCATGTATTTATTTATCTTTGTATGAACTACCCAAATTTTTAAAAAAAAATGTAAAGCTGTAACTAACTTTGCACCTTTCTGATTTTTTTTAAGTGTTCAATCTGGAAATCCTACCTTTTTATTATTTATTTATTTATTTATTTATTTATTTACATTTCTACCCAGCAACTCTTTCTACCCTTGAGTGTTAGTGTCTACTATCCTCTGGAGATAACTAAAATACCTACCTTGCCCCTGCTGACATATGAGTTTTTAACCCTTGAGGGTTTGCAGAAAGTGTGTACATTATAAAAATCATTGTTACCCAAAGTCAGATATTGCTAGGAAAACTTTAAATGATATTGGCAATTTAAAATGTATTTTTTTTCTGATTTTTCCCATTAAATTACTCTGTGTCATGTAAATATATAATTTCTTAATATAACTAAATAACATTGGCAAAAGAATGCCTATCTTTAATTTCTCTGAAACATTAAACAAATTTGCACACATGAAAGAGTTCATCTTTCAAAGGGCTTATGACCGCATAAATGTTTCAGCACGGTGTAGTTTGTATTTGTTCAGTATGATTCTTTTATCTACCCTGCTAAGAAAACTTCTATAGTCAAGATATATCAGGAACTGGCCTCTATATGACATAGTAGTTACCATATGTGAACATTCCTGATAAAGTTGTGTAAAGTTTTTGGGTACTTTCTATTGCAAAGCTAAATAATGGAGTATGCATAGAAGAAAACATTTTAGCTTTAATTTCAAGCGATGAGATTTTAAGTCAATGTGTTTACATTCATGCTACATCACCCCCATTATGCATATCCTGTGTATTTAATTTTACCACTTGAGGTTCTAAAGAAAAGAGCTGCAATTCTACAATTTCAAATTAGTTTCACTCTGCCTTTTTTGCATGGCAGAGATTATAACAGAAATCTCTAGACTTGTCTGGCATAGTTAGTGGCACCCTGTTCCTCTATTTTTAGAGACGCCATTTCTCATTTTCTCCAGACCCATCTTTTCATCCCTTCCTATGACCAATTGAGAATTCTTTAAAATAGAGATGATAAAAAAGTATAACCTCTTAAATGCATAAATTATGATTTCTAAAATAGTGTAACTTAATTTCATTAAAATATTTAAAGAATTGATGCCAGAAACATTGCATTAAGCAAATATTCATCACTTGTTATTTTTCTTCTCTTACCTGTAAATGGGGAATAAATCTGCCATTATTTTTATTAAAAATAATTTGAAGACAAAAGACAATAATTCTGTGGTGTGTTACATTTCTCTGTCCATTGAACTGCAATGTCAACTTAGAGCAGGTTGATCTCAATTTCACCTCTATGATTCGCTTGCATGTGAAATCCTAGCATGAGTCTAGTCGGTCGCATAGAGAGAAAAACTACCCTGACATTAGGTAAATTGTGTATAGAAGGGAATTGTGCTAATATATGATTTAATCTAATAGTCCCATCATTATATAAGCATTGAATGGTACTAAGTTAAAAAGAAACTCAACAGGTGTTACAACAAATAGACATCTTGTCCCTCTGAGTTGGCCTTTCCCAATTAGTTAGGCATCATATATGTGTTACTCCAAAATTATTTTGTGTAATTCTACAACCCATTTTTGTTGGATGTATAATTTGGAAGTTTTGTTTACATTATGTCCTTAGGGATTTTCTTTGTTTTAACAGCATGCAGCTTGACAGAAATACACTACCCAAAAAGGGATTAAGGTATCTATTTCTCTCAGCACAATTGCTACCTTTCTCTGTTGTTCCGTGAACTCTGTGTGCTGTCCCTCTTCCTTTTTTTCTGTTTGTTGACTATGTAGCACCTGACTTTGAGGAGAGTCACTTTTAATCTTGATATTCTCAGGCCTGAAGAGCTGGTGAGATAGTTACTAGGTCGAAATACTAGTGGAGACCAAGGTTGTGAGTCAAATTTCATTAATTTCAACATGAAAGCTTCTGTTGTAAAATAATAAGATGTCTCAGTGAACTTGTCCCATACATTGCTTTTTTGAGGCAGCAACTTTTGATAGCAGGCAAAACCCACTTGTACAAATTAAACTTAACTTCCCTAACTTTTCATCAAAAAAGCATATGCTTGCAAATCCTTAAAACCCATATTATCTACAGATGTGGCCAGTTAATGTTGAAAGGTTGAAGGGTGCCCTAATTGAAATTTAAAATCGTAGTTTCATCATTGTAGGACAAACACTGTAATTAAGGTATGTCTTTTATAGAATTCTTTCAATAAAGTCTCAAAACAGCTCTAGTTTCAGGGGTGCTGATAGCTATCAGGTCAATTTAAATCAGAATTAACCTCATGGCATTTAATAATCTCAATATAATTATTCAGCCTATAATAAAACATAAAGTGGAAAATCTAGTGGTTCCTTGACTGCACATCCTCTACTGTGTGCTTTTATCTGAGGGGAGGATAGAGGTTTAACACGGTATAAACATGATAAATTCACTGTTCTTAGGTTCTAAGATTTCACTCACTCTGATGGAGCTGTGATTACTGGCCAAGCTAGGTCTTTCCCCATTATCCTGGCAATTATTCCATTTCAATATTTTATTCTAGGAACTCATTTTGTAATAAAATGGGCACATTTCTTCCTCATTTTTATTTTTAATCCAGATATAATGTCAAGTGATAGTTTACCCAAAAAAACTTTTTTGTTTTTGTTTTAAAAAAATAGCTGTCAGTTTGTGTCCCACTTCCTATGCCTTTCTGTGATCATCACTTCACTTTCCTTTGGCCTCTGACCTAACACTCTCCACCATTTTTAGTCTTTGTTTTAACCTTCTTCACCTCCCTCAAGCACTGTGCTTTTGAGTCCTTTTCAATTAAATTGGCTGTCTATTCATTGCTTTATCATTTTTAACGTCATATCTCACAGAAGCCTAATTTTCTTCTCAAATTCCTTTATTTTTTTCCCATGAGATTTAAACAGATGGTGTCAAATCATCTGGAAGAACTGAGCAATTATAATTAGATTCAATCTGTTTGAGATGGTTGTTCAGTCTGAATAGTAAGCTCCTCTCAATTGTTTTCCTGTCCTTGTGTTGCCTCGCCCTAGATGTGCTGAAGTGTCTTAGCTGTGCTGTTTTGCAGATATACCCCATCATCTCGGCAGGCCAGCCAAGAAGAGGGCAAAGAGTGGTTGCGTTCTCATTCCACTGGAGGGCTGCAGGATACTGGCAACCAGTCACCTCTGGTCTCCCCTTCTGCCATGTCATCTTCTGCAACAGGAAAATATCACTTTTCCAACTTGGGTAAAATATTCTAAAACATTGCTTCTGTTTTGGTTCACTGCCCATCCTCACGGGAGCCCTGGTATTACTTTATAAAAAAATGTTCATGTAAAGGGACATAAAGACAGCTTAACAGTACCATGTATTTGTGTGATAGTTCAGTGTTCACAGAATAATTTCCAAATAGTATGCCACATATGAATCATATCAAATGTTCAACATAGGTAATACTGTTGCTGTTTGATAAAACAGGCTAGGATCCAGAAGTTCAAAGAGGTCATTTGGAATGAAAACATCCCACTGCAGAGATAGTCATCAGTCCAAGAAGAATTGACTTCAAGCCCAAGGTCCTTTCCATTCTATTGGGTTGCACAAAAGTCATGACACAGTTTTACATACATGAATACAGCATGACTTTTCCTACAACCCAATATCCCAAAATCCTCATAAAAGCACCCTTTAATTTTTTTATTTAAGATGTTTAAACATCTTTATAACAAAATTAACATTTCTGTAGAAAAATAGTAAATAGAAATAGCTAAAGAAGAATAAAATAGGCTAAATCATAAGTCCAAGATAACTTCTTTTCACATTGATGTTAAAACTCCTTTAAGAAGTTCTATTAAGATAATACTTCATGAGCATTTTAGAGAAATATAATAAAAAATGAAATATTATCTTACCCATCATTTATTTTGTGATTAACATCATTAAAAATAAAACTGTTTTATGTTTACTAAAGTATAACTGTAAATATGTTTTAGTAAACATAAAAAAGTATGAACTATAAAGTAATTTATATAAATGTCTTACAGGACACAGGGAAGTGACAAAGTAATGAACAACATCTAAACATGTCGGTTACAATTTAATGTACCTCAAAATGTTAAATTTCTTTTTTTATAAAGTCACACATGAAATATTCTTGTTATTGTTTTATCACTGGAGAAAAATAGTACTTCTAATAATGCACTCACCAAAGGTCTAAATTCTTTAATAATTTGGACTTCAACTTTTAGCCAAGTCAGTTCTCAAGGCTATGTTTTTCCTCTATTGTAATTCTTCCTACTATATCAAGTAGGGCTTTTGGCAATAAAAAGCAATTATCATGATTATGACTCCATATGAGCAAATGAATTCATATCAAACATCAAGTTTTTATTGCTTAAACTACACAGTAATGAGACTTCTTTGCTCCATAATGCCAAAGGATATAGCTTTTATTTAATTTGAGTCGTAGCTATAAAACACAGCCAAAAGCCCAACACTTTAAAAACCCAAATTGAAAATGTTTCTGTAGGGTCATAGGAATATAAAACAGAATTTATATAACATTTGAACCAAACCAAAATCATCTAAAATGCTATAAATTTTCCATGAGCCTCATGTCTTCCATCAATTTTATCATTAATTAACTATTTTAGTCCATTTTGTGTTGCTATAACTGAGTATCAAACTGGGTTAGTTATAAACAACAGAAATTTAAAAGAAACTTAAAAAAGAAATTTATTTGACTCCTGGTTTTGGAAACTGAGAAATCCAAGATTAAGAGGCCTTTTCATGACCAAGGCCTTGTTGCTGTATGATCCCATGATAGAAGGCAGAAGGGAAAAGAATATGCAAGAAAAAGGATGAGAAATCAGATTCTGCTGTCTCGAGGTTTTTAATTGGGATTAATCCATTCATGAGGATGGAGCCCTCGTGACCTAAACACCTTCCATTAGACCCCATATCCCAGTACTGTTCCAGTGGGGATTCACTTTCCAAAAGATGCTGTCTGGGGAACACGTTCACATCACAGCATTGATATTAATTAATTAGTTGACACCTTACTCCATTTTTTCACACTGTCAGTAGTCTGATAATATCCATCTATTCCACTATTCTTTGAAAGAAACAAGAAGCTCATCACTTTGTATGTCTGACTTTGATAAAGTCATTTAACCTCAATTTTCTCATCTGTCAAATGGATACATGATACCTTGTGAAGAACTACTGATAGGATGATTCATAAGACTAAGGAGTAAGACTTGAAAGATTGCCAGTCATTTTTATTAGAATGCATATCCTATACTGTCAGTATTATAAAGTAGCACTTATCTGGTATGCCTGAGTTTTATCTGCATTTAATTGGGTATGATTTATAAGACAGTAACCACACATTTTACATAAAAGACATTCATAGCTTAGATTTTTGAAAGACTGGTACAGAACTGTGATATAATGATCAAGCTCTCAGTTATCACTAATGTCAAATATTTGTCCAGAGATAAGGTTATTCTAAAGTTTGAATTGATAAGACACATGATACCAACAGATCCATGACCACAAATGTGTTTTTAAAAGATCGATATATATCACATGTTAGAATTCATTTTATTATACAGTTTTCAAAGAGTTGAAGCACAGTTAATAAATTAAAGCAAATTTTAATTTTACTGATAAACCATCTCTGTGGTCCTTTAATATTAATGATTTGAATTAAAACATTGATCAAATACATCCCTTATATGTTGTTATATAGAAACCAACCAACATTTGGAAGAGTCAAGCTTACCTTACCTCTAAGTTATTTGCACTTTCCAGAAATCTCTCAGCAACATCAAACAGCACTACTTGTTTTCCTTATCAATGTACTTTCAGCCTTTATTATACTGACATCACCCTCTTAATTCTTTTCATAATTTTCCAACTATGATTCTTTCTCATAGGTTGTCTCATCTTGACTACATAATTTATTGTACAAACAAGGTTACTTTTTTAGTTTCTGCTATAGGGCACAGAAGATCACCACAGAGAGAGAAGGAAGGGAAAATCAACCCCCAAGAGGGATGGCCACACCACAATCCCTTCTCCTCCATTCTCTTTTCAGGATTTTGGGCTTGTATGCATACATATCCACATATTTTTCGAGCTACCAGGTCCTGGACTCTTATCACTTAGTCTGCATGTGGGATCCAGCCTCCTAAACTACCATGCTTCTGGCTCATCCAAGCAGGTTCACTTTTGAGAGTGGAAGGGACTCTATTGATCATTGTTTCAGGCATTAGGTATAAACCCTACACAGTGTAATTTATCCTTCATCTGCTCCTCATATTTATGTTTTTACCAAGATTTTTCCTTTAGGCTTAGCAATTCCAAACTGATATTGTATATTTTCATCTACAACTTTAATTCTAACATCTCAAATTAACATTTCTCTTTCTTACTGAAATTTTTTTTTTCTTTAAAAATATTTATTTATTTATTTATTTAGCTACAGGGTGAGTGAGCTCACCAGAGAGAGACAGGGGAGTGGAAAATGTGAGAAATCAGTTCCTAGGGTGTATGACATGCCACAATTCCTTTTTTTCCCCCCACATTATTTATTATTTATTTTTTGTATATACTTTCAATCATATTGTTTGACTTACAATGAGACCATTTCGATATGTGCACATTTCTCCCCAGACCCGTTGATCAAAATATCTTTAACATATTTTTGAGCTCTAAAACTGAAATCCCATCAGTGTGCTGGACTATACAGCCACCATAAAACAAAGTCTTACTTTATTTACTTTTTTAAAAAAATCATTTTTATAATTTCACATATCACCATTCTTCCAACTGCTCAAATATGAAACATCTATATAATCAACAGTTTTACATAGATCTATTCCACTCACCCCCTCATAGTTTATATCTTCAATAAGCAAAACTTGTGAACTGATCTTCAAAATATCTCCTATATCTATTTCTCATTGTCGGAGGAATTGCCTTTGCTTTTACAACTCTACACAATATCAGTAGATTTCCAATTAATCTTACTGAATATAGTCACATAACTCTCAAGATTTTTACCTATTGAGAGTTATGAAGAAAGACCTTTTTATCTGTGTCAAAAATGTCATGAGCCTTCCCTGTTTTATAAGCATATATAATTTCAAATAAGGCCTTCTGAGATCTCTGTACTGTGTTATTTTACAGAGGGAAAAAATAATTTTAAAAACAAGAAAATACTTTTTATAGTTTTGATTATATTCAGATCACATGAATTTTTACATTGGGTTGATAGACAAGTCATGATACATTTTTACATAGAAAAACATGAAAAAATACATCATTACTTTTCTGATAACCCATTAACTTGTAATTATATAACTTACATAACTATTAAGCAAGAAAATGTGCACTATTAAAGTACAATAATGTTATTAATATAAACTTTATTATTAAATTTAAATATATATCTCTCCATATATATGAAATTTAACTCCTTAATTTCAATATGGATAGCATGTGTTTTTGGACATCAACTATTTTCAGTTTGATCATTATCTTTTCTAAATGACTGGTAAGGTACATGATTATTGCTAATATTTCAGAGTGCCAGTACCCATAGTTTCATTAGCTATATTCTTTATTTCTATCTGAACAAAATGTCTTAATAAGAATTTTTAGAAATATTCCTATAAAAATCACATATAACTATCTTCAAAATATAAGATCATGAAAATTATGTCATTTTACTAGAATACTCTGAACTACTACCAAAGTAAACTATGGTTTGTGTGTGATTTCCAGCCTGCTAACTAGAAAGGAAACCATTCCAATCCAGGAAAGAGTATCAATATCATTTATGCAATAAAATAAGTCTTCGGACGAAATGTGTTTACTTTTGGTTTTAGTTCTTGTGAGGCTTCTGATTTTTTTTTAATTAGTTAAAAAAAAATTCAGAGGCGTGTTGCCTTAGGGCACATGCACTTGAGTAGGGACATTCACTCAACATGAGTTTCAACCCTCCAGGTCTGGGGCTCAAAGAACGGTCCGCCATGTGAGCGTCCAGCAATGTTATCACTACACCATCAGCTGGTCCTTCTGTGAGGCATCTTAAAACCTGTGAGACTGATTGTCACAGGTGATAAAAATTGCTCAGATTCATTTTTCACTTTGCTAGAGAGTTAACTGTACAGAAACATGAATCTCATGCTGCCATTTCCCAGTTCTGTATGTCAGATGGATACTTTTTGTCTGCAAAGTGATTATTAAAGACCTCGGATGAGGACAGTTTCTGTGCTTTTGTTCTCAAGCATCCCTGCCCTTTGCATTCCCTCTGCTTCTCTCCCTATGGTGATCCCTCAACCTATTTAGAATGAGTCCCTTTTTTTATACTGATAGAAGGATAGTATTAGGTAGTTAGGAACGTCATAATATATTTTTCTATGTTTTTCTAAGCTAAAATGTGTCATGACTTTCCTGATGACCCAATATCTCACAGTTGAAAGAGATCCATATCTAGTTGAATCATCTGTTACATAAATTTTATGACATACAGCTTCTCTAAACCCTCCAGTTACAATAACTACTTAATCTAGAAATAGCACACCATCACTTTTTCTTTTAGAAGCTCAAGTAAAATTTTCCTGAATTGTTACCCATTTTTTCTGGTTATGTATTCAGATTCCACAAAAAAAGTTAAAATTAAGTTCCATATGACAACTCTTTTCTTATTTAAACAATATCATAAGCTCACTAGTTAATGTCTAGCTATAGAATCAAAGGTAGGGAGTGACTTGCAAGTATTTAAAAACCCAGCCTAGAACCAGGTGTTGGAGCAGTGGTAAGACGACTAGACCCATGTAGGAAAGAGCCTGGTTCATTTCCAGGGACTCCATAAGCATGCTGGCATACACATGCATGCCCATGATCAAGGCTGGCTGAGAATGGGGATAAATTGCTACGTAAGGACCCTGTTGGGGGTGCCTGTCTTTCTGTCTTGGTCTCTACCTCTCTTGCTCATGGAAGAAGTAGATTAAACACACACACGTAGACACACACACAAACCTGAAAATCCAGTCTACATTTCTGTTTCTGTTTAAAATCACCAGAAATATATTATCTTGATTAAGGCAGTAGTATTGCTATGCAAATGCAATTACAACAACGTCAGTAGCCCACTTTCCTCCAATAGATTATCACATATATTTCTCTCCTATTCGGAAATAATTCTTGTGTGTCTTTTGGCTTTGATTGGCATATAGAGGCCATTTATTTTGCCATTTCTTTGTATTTATAAAGAAACTGAAGTGTACAGATTAGAACATTTGCCTGAAGCAGATGGAAAAGCAAAACCAGCACAAAAAGCACTTTTCCAGTCTGTATTCCTTCACAGAAACTCTTGGTCTGTTACATTTGTTTTCCATTATGTAACTTTTCTTCCTCTATTTTACATATTAACCTTTCTACCTTTCAGTCATCTTACCTAGTGACTGATCTTGAAATCAGCATCCATGTCGTTTTTATTTATATTTTTTTTGAGAGGTTTTTGCTATAGGGCGCATGCGCTCACCAGATAGACAGAGAGAGACAGAGAGACAGAAAGCAAGAAATCACCCCCCAGGTGGGATGGCCATGCTGCAATCCTTTCTCCTCCATTCTCCTCTCAGGATCTTGGGCACACAGGCACACATACACCCCGTGTGAGTTTTAAGCCACTGGATCCGGGACGCAAACTGTGATCAACTACATGGGAGTCCAGCGACATAGCCATTATGCTAACTGCTGGTCCCATTTTTATCTTTCTATTCAACTGCAATACTCAAAAATTAGACCTGTCATAGATAGTAACATAATTGAACATTCTCAGATAGCATAGATATATTTCCAATAAATAAATTATCAAAAGTATTTATAAATGAAAACTCTTCCCTTTAAAATCCGCCATAATCCTTATTAATGCTTTACCTTGAGTAAGTTAAGTATTGTATTTAAAATTATAGAAGGGCCCTTCATTTGGATAGCTCTGCAGTTGTTTTGGTAAGAATTATGCAAAGCTAAAGAAAGAATGGAATGTCCCTCTAGCCTCTACATGTGATACCTAGCAAATCTGTTGCATGTTTCATTCATTTAGGTAAAGATCAATTTCTATTGACCTAGAATAAAGCAACTGATCTCAATCCAGGTACCTCAAGCATAAACATTCAATTCTTGAATGTCCTACAGTAGACCTATGGGTTGTTATCAATAATCAGACTGAATCCAGACTAATGATTATTGCTACCTGAAGGATTGTGACTGAAAGGTAGATCCTTTCTCTCCACTCACTCTTCCTTCTTTACTTCTTTTTCTTCTTTCTTTCCAGTGGATTATGCACTGTGAAAAATCCATATGTTTTCCTTTTTCTTTAAGTTTTTTATATAGACACATAGATGTGAGTCTTGGTCTTGTTTCCCTTTGCTCCAGTCCATAGCTAGCTGCGTCAGAGGGTTTTCTGTGTATTAATTCAGGTTCATACCTGTAAAGTACGAAATGTCATATCTGGTCAATAGGAGATGCTCACTGTCAGTTACCTCACAGTATATCCTTCATATTTTACATTGTTTTGGAACCAGTATTATAAGTATTGTGCCTATGTCAAAGAAAAAAAAACCAGTACGCTATTAAAAGATATCATACCAAGCCAATGACATATATCCTCCATATTTTGAAAGTACTCTTCAGTTCTCTTCATATCTTAAGAGGTTTCTGTCTGCTTCCTCATATACCAGTAGCAAAGATGATTTTCTTAAACTTAAACATTAATGAGACATCTATTTCTCAATTTCTCTGCTATACTTTTATTCCAAATTTCAAAATAATATTTTCTAATGCAGTTGTACATTCAATCATATCTTTCTTTAAATTGGTGATTGAAAATTGGCTTAAAAAGTTATCACTTATCAGCACCAGCAAATGGTGTAATGGTTATGTCTCTGGACTCCCACGTGACTGACTGTGATTCAAGTCCTGTACCTGGTGGCCTCAAATTCATGCCAGGCATGTGTGCATATGTGCCCAAAATCCCAATAGGAGAATGGAGGAGAAGGGATTGCAGGGTGGCCATCTGCCCTGGAGGGTGATTTCTTGCTTTCTGTCTCTCTATCGCTCTCTGTCTCTCCAGTGAACACATGCACCCTGTAACAAAAAATCACTCTAAAAAACAAAAATAGTTGAGCATCATTTTAACTATTTGGCAATAGACAATAAGCAAATAAACCATTTAAAATTATAGGCTTAAGATACATCTTTGAAAATATAATGTGTTTGTGACCTTTGACAATGTCACTTTTCTTGCTGTAGATATAGTAAAAAGCAGTTTTATGTGATTAACCTTATGAGCTACCAATACTATATATGAGATTGCTATGATTTGGAATGTCCCCCCAAATTTATATGTTGGTACTTGATTGTATTGTGAAACTGTTAAGTGAGAACTTCATTCCTGCATGGCATTCCAGGGTGAGAACTTTGTATGTGAAAAAGACACTAGGTCAAGCCCCTGACTGAATTCTAGTGTGTTTATAAGAGGGGAAAGGAGACCAAAGCAGAAGGAAATTTATGATAGCTGCTCCAGTCAATATCCTGTCTTCTGCCACCTTTTTACCTTCCAGAAGTTGGCCCCTGGACCTCAGACCTCCAAACTGTGAGCTGAATAAAGCTCTTTTTCTTCATATATCATTTAGTTGCACATATTCTGTTATCAACACAATTTTGGACTAAGATGATAGGGATCTTCAAAAGGTCATGGAAATGTGTATTATGAAGACACAAGGCATGAATTTCAAAAATTTTGCACCCAAATGTACTCATCATTTAATTTCATCTTTCCATTAACTTTTTATGTGTTCTTTGTAGTACATAATATTTAATGTAAAGAAAAAGTTTAATTACTCTTCTTTATAACCTATGATGACAATAAGGGTCCCAATCATAAATTATATTAATTTAGAACTCAAAATGACTGAAAGTTTTTGCCCGAAATCCTTTAAAGGCTCTTATGAGAAATTTTTTTTATATTTGCATTTTTGCTTTTTTTTTCAATTATGTATTTCCCATAAAAGTGATGATTATTCTCCAAAAAGAGGCCTACATACTGTATAAAGACAATATTATCTTCATAAAGAGGCAACGAGAAATACTGTGTTAATATATTTCTATTGGAATGGGTGAAGTGATTTGGTGGTTTTATTTACTATTACTTTAGAAATTGACACAATGTTTGCCATGAAACTGCCAGAGGAAAAGAGAGACTCCCTGGTTTTACTGTAATTAAACATTTGATAGACAGATTCATGGCCTACTTGAGCTAGAGATATCCTATAAGTCCATGTCCATGAGAATTGGACTCACTTTCTCACTTGCTATCAACCTATCGTTTTTGTCATTGAAGACTCAGAATAATAGGCTGTATGTGCTTCGTTTTCAGTGAGCCCAACCAATCTGTCTCAGTTTAACCTACCTGGGCCCAGCATGATGCGCTCAAATAGCATCCCAGCCCAGGACTCTTCCTTCGATCTCTATGATGATTCCCAGCTCTGTGGGAGTGCCACTTCTCTTGAGGAAAGGCCACGTGCCATCAGTCATTCAGGCTCATTCAGAGACAGCATGGAAGAAGGTAAGCGTGGTGGGGAGGGGATGGATAAAAGTGAAGTTACTTTACTTTATTTTCATCTCTAAGACGATCTCGAGGATTTCTGAAAAGGAAATACGTATAGGGGCCAACAGGTAGCATGGTGGCTACAGCACTGGCTTCTCCCATGGCCAGCAGCAGTTCAGGTCCTGGACCTGGTGGCTTGAAAATCATGCTGAAAGTGTATGTTTGTGCCCAAAATCCCAGGAGGAGAATAGAGGAGAAGGGATTGAGGCATGGACATCCCCCCTGTGGGGTGTCATGTCTCAATTTCCCTCTCCTGATGAGTGCACACACTCCATGGCAAAAACCTTAATAAAAAAAAAAATGTAATTCTCATTTGAGGAAACCCAACCAGAGGTTGAAGACATTTTATTCTGTATTTACCATCTGTTTCTTTATGCATTTAGGAATATGCCAGGATTTGTTAGATTAATACTCGGCTATAGAATAGTTTAAGATAAATCCATGATCTCATACAGAAATACACATAATTTTAAGAGATTATTGCCTCAGTGTGTCAAATATCAAAGCAAATGTTTTGTTTGACACCTTGCTTAAGGAAGTATTAAGGTACACAAACCAGAAACATTATCGTACACTTGCCAACTTTTTATTCTCAGAAACTCCCTCTAGTGTCAGTTTTTTAGCATATCACTTTAGAGTTATTACACCTACCTTTTGCTTTGCAAGTCACATATCTCTTTTTTTTTTTTTTTTTTTTTTTTGGGGGTTTTT